GTTGATTGATTTTGAAACGACTTTAAGAGAGGAGAAAAATATTCTTTGTCAAGGTCATGGATACTAGCTGTCATTTAAGAGATGTATAATATAAATTTGATGTAATGGGTCTTAGAAATTAGGAATATATATGAAATATTGATTGTTAAAATGTCAAAATTTGGAATGATGTCTATTTGGAAATAATTGTTTAGAATTTTGGGTGATATAGTAGAATGATAAATATTTAGAATAAGTTTTTTTCTTTTTTTCTTTTTTCTTTTTTAAGATGTAAAAGGATAAAATCTGGAACAAAATTGGTTGAGGGAATGTGAGTAATTGTATCTATTTTATACCAGATCAAATCCTTGCTCTAAAAAGACGTATTTTATGTTTTATGTTTAAAAAAATAAAAAAAAATCTCCCCCCCAAAAAACACACAGTAGAAAACCAAATGGGCTGCTGAATGCCCAGATACAGGCAGTTACATAGATGACTCTACACAAACGGTGCTAGGTTTTGACCTTCCTTGCCAGCATTGGTCAACTCTGAACAGGATACATACCCAACACGGTGTCTGCCAGGACTCATTGTTTAAGTGGGGTCTTGTCTCTACCCCTTAGTGTTACTGTGGTGCTCTTCAACAAAATATCCGTTGTGTCTGAATATCCAACAAGAGCTTACACCAGCTCAATGTCTGATTTTTTCAACATAGACAGCCCTGTCCTTGAATGACTGGGTGGACTGGACATTAAAATTTGAATCGCTATAAGTCCATGTATTTGCCATACGCTACATAAATAAATAAATAAACAAACTGGCATTACAGTGCAGAAGAAGAAAAGATGTTAAGCAGAGTTACTCATGATGCAATTTCAATCTAAATCTGATAGTGGAGATTGCATTTAGCTGCAGTTAATTGGAATGGATGCTTAAATTTAGGGCATAAAAGCTAATTTGGGGCAGGAATAATGTCCACAGAATTTTCATTCATTCATCCATCCATCCATCCATCCATCCATCCATCCATCCATCCATCCATTTATTCATTCATTCATTCATTCAATTTCTATAACCACCCAACTCAATAAATGATTCTGGGTAGCTTACAATTAAAAAAATACATTACAATTAAAATACTAAAAACAATTTTAAAACAACAAAAACATTCAAAATAAATATACTTTGGTTGCTGCCTATCTTATGTTTCTAGATTCTAGGATGACTATCCTTTGAGTAGAAAGCATTAATTGCTAGCTTTTCAGTCTTGTAAAGTTTACAGATCCATTCTCAGCAACCAAAAATGCCATTGATTCAAAATGAAATGACAATCAACATTGTAATTACAAATATGACCAGTGGAGGGCAACTGACAATTAGTATTTATTTTTTAATACAGAAAATGGTACAATTCACTGTTACAATCTACTACTTGATTTAGTATAAAGATCCCTGCATTCATCAAAAAAATTCAACTCATTTTTATTTATTTTGAGTTGGATTATCATATATTGATTTAGGAAATGAAAAAGAACAAAATTCAATTTTGCTGAAATAATATACCACAGTTTTTAAAGCTATATTATGGTAACAGGGCATATAATAAATACATTTTATTTTGGATTACCAATAGTCCAATTATTTAAAAGTAATGCATTTAACTATTATTCTGAATAGTCCAGGAAGGAGAATTTGTAGCATATGAAGTTATCCAAAATGTAGTACTAGTTAAAAGCAGTGGTAAAATCTAAAATTTGTTACTACCGGTTCTGTGGGCGTGGCTTGGTGGTGGTGGTGGGGGGTAATGTGACTGGGTAGGCATGGCCAATTTTTAAAAAAACTTTTAAAACCATTTTTTCTACAACCTCTTCGGTGAAGAGGTTGTAAAAAATGCTTTCAAAAGGCTCTGTCAATCCCAGTGAGTTGCCTGATCGTTTTTTAAAAACCCTCTGACGATCAGGCAACTCACCTGGGATCGTCAGAGCCATTTAAAAGAAAAAAAAACCCTCTGATGATCGCGCGGCTCAGCTGGGCATGGGGGGGGGCAGGGATTTTTGCTACCGGTTCTCCGAAACACCCGCCTTCATTGCTACTGGATTGGGCGATCCGGTCCGAACCGGGAGAATTTCACCCCTGGTTAAAAGGTATGCATAATGGTATAATTTAGGATTCAGAAACTGAAATCCCCATCTGTAAATGACAATTGTATCTTTTTTAAATATATTTTTGGAACTGAAGAATCCTATAGAAATCTATGAAACAGTGTACTTACTAGGATCATGCCTGGGAAAGAAAGCTAAATTCTTCCTCCTACTGCATTGTACTAGAAATTGCCTTATAACTATGACCTAGCTTTAATACTTCCTGATTGCTCTGTATTTTTACAAATGTTATAAAAACAATAACAGTTTGACATAGTAGTAATTGGATAATATTTACTCTATACACAGGGCAACCCAAGAAAATCTATTGAGTCCACCAATGAAGGGACCACAGGATTACCTTGCAAACAGTTAAATCACTTTATAATAAGTCACTTTTATGACCAGATCAGTTACATTTGCCGCCACCTGGTCTCGGAGGTGGCAAATTATACAGCATAGGCAAAGTGGGGTAAATGACTGCATGTACTTGATGATTTCATCACTGAAATACAGTGACCAACATAGTTAGATCAGATACCATGTTATATTTGTATGATGACAATTTCCTCTCATAAAATCTTTTAGGCCACATTGCAAGTTGTTACGGATGCTATTGCAAGCTAATGATTGGGAGATTGGCCAATGAGTTGGCTGCTTTATTACACATAGTGATTTCGTTGACTCTGCCCATGTGGTCCTTTGAAGCTTACACAAATTATTAATAGTAGGATATGTTTATTATTTATGCTTTCCATGACCATAGCCAAAGTTGCATTGTTCCATTGGCATTTGAACAATGACAGTTAGAATTTCTAGTAGGTCAGTATTCTATTAGAACTATCTATTGAAAGTCACTTAGTTTCAGTTAAGAAACTGAGCCAACTCAGTTTCAGCACATCTCTCTTAAGGTCTGTTGTTTTGCTTTGTGGTATAAGTCAGGTTTACCCAATAAAAAGAGTACTAACAATCCTGGTATTCTGACTAGATTGGAAACTATTCATGACAAATATTTCAAATAGTAATTTTTATTAAATTCATTTTTGTGAGTGCAAAATATTCTCTCTTCAAATATTGTTGAATATTGTTTGTTTTTGCTAATGCCTCTCTCCCACTTACTATGAACCTCCTTGTCAAACCCCAAACTGCAGGAACACCTTTTGAATTAAGTGGGGATAGCATTGAGTAGGAGAAACAGGGATTTTCCGTTGTAAAAGTAGATTGTTTTCCATTACTGCAGAAGTACATTCAGATATGAGGCTCCTCATTTTAAGCACTGCCTGGAGTAAGCACTGCCATTAGAAATGTCCGTGAATGTTGGAAGTCATGGGAGGATTCAGTTTATCTCAAAGAAAATGAATCTGAATAAAATGCTTGAAACCAGCTAGCACAGCTTTCAAGTGTCAGAGAGTCCAACAGAATTTCAAACTGGGCATTCTCAAATTTTAAACTGGGCATTTCAATCTGCACTGAATCTATTTTTCATTTCAGAATTATAGTAAGAAGATTCCACAAAAAAACCCAGTCTATCTCGATGTCAAAGTCTGTTTCAACTTATCAGAAATAGATATTAATGTGCTCCATGTATTAGTCTTCTGCAATTTAATTGTATCTTTAAACTTAGCTTACTTGGTGCAGAATGTATACTATAATTTTATCTTATTTATCTTATTTGTATAAACAAAAAATACAGCCTTTGCTGCAAAACACAGCTGTTAAGAGTTTAATCTTAATATACATGCAATTTATATATATTTAAAATTTGTAGCAGTGAGCTTGTTTATGTTGAATATAATACTTTGTATGGTATGTAAAAAGATTCAGTTAATTAGACATATTTCAAACAATTTGTTCAAATTTCACACAAGTTTCTTGTGAACAGAATGTCATTGATTCCTTCCCTTTTTGCAAACGTTGGTACTCTCCAACTGCTGTCTATCATTTCAGTTCTCTTTCCATAAATGATGATATTGATTGAAAAAGGAGGCTGTTGGATTACTGATCAAGTCATTTTAGTTCATAGGGTACCAACATATGGAAGTTGTCCTCCTGGCTGGGACAAGGAATGACCCAGACAGCAATGTCATATGAACATGGCTATTGTTCCTTACTTTCTGGTTTTCTCCTATTCCTTTTAAATAGGAATACAGTGGTGGATTAAGTCTTTAGATTGCTTGCACATGGTTGTACACTGATTGTGGTTTATTTACACATGAGAAACAGATCTGGTCCCCAAGGCACTCTTGAAAATAAGTGTACTTTTCTAATATCTGAATCGGTTCTATTTTTAATTCTTGAAGGATGAATAGAACATGTCATTCACACATAGTTTAAATATCATAACTCATACCATGCATGAAATTCATATGTTTCCCTTCACTCCTTGACACCAATAGTTATTAATTGTAGCAAGAAATGATGGATGGAATGTTTTGAGACAGGTGATGCTCAAAATCTGTAACAGAAATATAAGTAACTTGGGGATTTCTCTGTTGCCAATACGTTTAGAATGGAGAAGAAGTTACCAGAAATAATATGTATGCATTATTTTATATGACATTATTTTACACTGGACTTGGTAGTTTAAGTCTGCTTTTACTGTGTCAGTTTGGAAACCAAAACTGATTTTTTTTCCTTCCATAGGAATTACAACAAGTATTTCCTGTCAGTATAGAAAATAACTTCTGTGGAATAAATTGGGTCCTAATTTAAAAGGACAGTCTTTAGTCATTCTCTGACTAAAGAATGAGGGATAAAACTGGCATTTCCTGGTTCTGAACACCAATATTTCACTCAAGTCCTTAGAGCAAATGCTACAAATCTCTGGAGGCTATTTTTCCAATTATTTTGTTTTTATTTTTCGAGAGCCAGGAGTCATAGCAAGCTGCAGAAGATAACTTTAATGATGGGCTAGGACATAATGATATACTTTACTGTTCAGTGACCTCAAAAGCCTTTCCGTTTTCATTGTGTTTACTATAGGGTCAGCATGTTCCTCAGCGTCCTCTCTGTTGCTGATGTTATCTTCAGCAATGCTTGGCCGACTATCGACTCGAATGCTGCCACTTCTGGCTGTTAATATTATCAAGAAAAAAGACATGGAAGTATGTGAATATAAATGTATTTATATTCTTAATAAATCTTTAAGCAAGTATTGAGTTAGAGAAAATAATATCTGTTTCCTATTATAAAAAGCAGATACACCTATAGAGTCCAGAATTGAGGGAGTCATGTGGCTCATCTCATCCAACTTCTTGTTCCGAACTGAAATTTAGTTTCTCATGACAGATATTTATTTATTTAATTTTTTATTTAATTTTATTTTAGAAAATTTATATTGCCCCTACTCGCACCTGGTGACTCAAGGCAGCTTACATGGATATAAAAACACCATATAAAAGAAATAAAAAGAAAAACAGTAAAATAATAAATTAATAAAATAATAAGCCCCCACTCCCCCACCCCGGCAAGGACACACAGTCATACAAGCCATTTAATGGGCTCCATCCTAGTATGGGTTCCCCAGATCCGTTGGCAAAACCACATCTTCAACACTTTCCAAAAGAGTGTTAGAATGGAGGCCTGTCTAATCTCTGGGGGAATGATGTTCCAGAGAGAGGGAGCCACCACAGAGAAGGCCCTTCTTCTGGCTCCCACCAGATGTATCTCCCTAGGGCAGTGATGGCGAAATTTCTGGCAAGCATGCGCGTGTGACAATCAGCTGGCTGGCGTGCATGATTATGCAGGAAAATGGAAGACTAGCTCTTCCAGTTTCCTGCACAGCCACAAGCATGAAGGCCAGCTGATCATCGCGCACACATATGCACCAGAAACCCAGAAGAGGAACGGGTGATGCCACACATGCCAGGCAACATGGCTTCGCATGCAACTTCAGGCACGTGTGCCATAGTTTTGCCATCATGGCTCTAGGGGATGGGACCTACAACATTCCTTGCCTAGGTATTTGTCTTTTCTTGAACACAACCAGTGGAGCTCACCATCTCCCTGATTCCACGGCCAGGTTACCCTTAACTGCTTTTGTTTACCTCCTTATTGTAGCATCTACAACAGGGGCTAGCTCTTAGCTGACCTTGATCGATCTAAGAAACTTAGAATAGTTGGGTCTGGTTAGTGCCTAGATAGAAAATCCCAATGTTGCTGTGAGAAAAAGCAATGATAAACCATTTCTGTACTTTACTATAATAGTATTGCTGTGCTAATTAAACTGATGATAATCATAGATCTGTTTTAACGTAATAAAATAAAGAATTTAATTAGTTTAAAGAACCCAGGGATAGACCAAGATGTGTCCCAGATATTCTGGAACGGCACTCCCATAGTTCTTTGCCATTGGCTACGATGATGGGGAACAAGTCAAAGTTATCTAGAGAATATCAGGTTCGTAATACTGTAACCAGTAATTATTTTAATTAGCCATTTGGTTAAAATACCCATTTTTCTCTTATGCTTATATTTTTACATTTACTTGTTGTCTCTTACATCCTTCTGCAATCTGGAGCCTTCTAGAGGTTATAGGGATTCAACTCCCAGAATTTACAGTTAACACAGTAGAGGTTGACCCAGAATTCTAGGTGTCCAGAAGGCTTTCCAAATATATTTCTTGTTTTGTTAAATTAAAATAATCTTCCTTGTTGTTTTAGTTTGAGGTGCATCCTTACTATAATCTCACAGTAAAAATCCTGAGAGCCAGAAACATCCATGGCCTAGATTTATGTAAGTAATTTATTTATTTAAATTGATTCAATGTTCAAGATAAACGTTAATTATTCTTCACAGCACACCAATTCATTATCTATCATCAAGTTGGTATCAACTTTGTCATAATCTAAAGCAGGGGTGTCAAACTCGATTTCATTGAGGGCCGCATCAGGGTTGTGTTTAACCTTGGGGGGCCGGGGCGGGCGTGGCCAGGGTGGCGTGGCCAGCTCAATGTCACTCCTGTCAGGGGGAACTTGTGGTGGCCTGAGCGCTCTGCCAGCAAAAATGGGCTCCCGAGCTCCGTTTCCAGCTAGCATGGCCTCCTGCAACCCTCTGCTAGTGAAAACAGAGCTCAGGAGGGACAGAGGGTTGCAAGAGGCTGTGGCAGCCAAAAACAGAGCTTGGAGCTTATTTTCGCTGGCAGAAGCACTGTGGGCCGGTCCTTCGCTGTTTCCAGGGCGGCCAGATCTAAGTACCCCATGGGCTGGATCCAGCCCCTGGACCTTGAGTTTGGCACCCCTGTTCTAAAGTATTATACTTGAGACTGGTCATTTGTGCCTCAAGTGAGAATTCGGAATTCATTTGTGTGATGATCCATTTACTTTAGCATCTCAACAGTATTAAGACATAGTGGTTCTCTTTTTTTTAGAGACCATGGTCTTTAATAATTTATTCTTCCCATGACCTGCTCCTGTACACACCTCTGATGAGAAGGGTCTCAGTCTAGCAAACCCAGTTAGTATTGGAAAACATGTATGTGCAATTTTTAAGAAATGCATTTTTGCAGATCTAACACAGAAGTATAAAGAATAGTTGCTGTGTTCTTGGAGAAAATAATGGCCCATTAGACATTTGTACAAGCATATGGTACGCTTCTAGATATCTAGTCTCTAGATATTAAAACAGGCACTTAATCAATTATGTGGAAAGGAGAAAGGCTGATGGGAAGTGGTAAAAAGAAGTGGAATAAGTACATGTGGAAATTCCTATTTAGACTGTTTAATACCTCCCCTGCCTAGTATTATTACACAAACTAATTGGCATGAAAATTTAAATGCTTATTTTAACAGCAGAATCACTTATATTCAAAAGGTGGTAGGAAGTTTCTCTGTTATGTTAACAGTACTTGGTCAGAAATAAATACTGCAGTATTGGTTGTACTGTCTGTTCAGGTTTAGGATTTTAGCCTTGGTCTCTCTTTATACCTGCTTAGCTGAAAGAGGTTACAAAATGCTATTGATATATGAAGAAAAATAACTTTTCTAGGCTTTCCCTACCCTGGCATTTTTTTTTAATGATTATAGTGTCTAAATCAGATTGTTATGTGGCCTTAAAACTTCCTACGGCATCGCCATTGATAAAAAGAACTCCAGTTGTCTATAACAGCAGTGATCCTGAATGGAACGAAACTTTCCAATACCGAATCCATAGTGCTGTAAAGGTGAGTTTGTTCGTTATCATTCCTATTATTGATATCAGCCCAGAGGAGCAAAGCTTTGTCACACAAGGTCTACTCAGCTATATCATATGACAAAATGTGACAGGACTCATTTTTTCAAACTATGCTACAAAACTATGATGAACCAGGTAACCAGCTGAGATTTTCACTTCTACATAAGGGTAGAACCTGAGGGTAGAACAAGAAGCAATGATGGAAACTAATCAAGGAGAGAAGCAATTTAGAACTAAGGAGAAATTTCCTGACAGTTAGAACAATTAATAAGTGGAACAACTTGCCTGCAGAAGTTGTGAATGCCCCAACACTGGAAATTTTTAAGATGTTGGATAACCATTTGTCTGAAGTGGTGTAGGTTTCCTGCCTGGAGGTTGGACTAGAAGACCTCCAAGGTCCCTTCCAACTCTGTTATTCTATTCTATTCTATTCTATTCTATTCTATTCTATTCTATTCTATTCTATTCTAACATTCTGCATGAAAATACAGAAAGAGTAATACTGAAAAATTGGACAATATTTGGATTAGAACTAATTCACAAACACCTTTGCTTTAATGATCGATTTCTTCACCAGTGTTTAGGGAAATGATAAATATTCCCTACCCAGTCCATCAAATTTGCCCTTGATTGCTAATCCAGCTGGATGTATCTATAACTCAGACTATCAGTTATATGCACTAGTAGTTGGTCACTATAAGGTAATTGTGCTCTAATAAGAGTGAAAGTTTGGGTAAGTTATTAATCCAAGGTGTACTTAAGATAACTGTTTCTTCACTTGGGGAAGAATTTTGGTGTATTTAGGTCCATGTGTAAGTAAAAGGTAAGACAAATGAGCTGATGAACCACCAGCTCTGTCTATCAGTGTCAAAAATGATTGACTGCTGAGTTGAAAGAGTTCAATATAAATGAAACAGCTATATATAAATGTTAGCAGCCAGCTTACAGCATATGATTTATATCCTGATATTATTTGTACAAATAGCTGATCTGTAAATAGAATGAACTACATTTCCAATTAGCCTATCCCTTGTTAAAAAATTGAACTGTAGACTCTGGAATGAGCTCCCTTCCCCTTTTCTAACAATGCAATAGCAATAGTACTTAGACTTATATACCTCTTCATAGTGCTTTACAGCCATCTCTAAGTGGTTCAGCATATTGCCCCCAACAATCTGGGTCCTCATTTGACCAACCTTGGAAGAATGGAAGGCTGAATCAATCTTGATCTGGTGAGAATCGAACTCCTGGCAGTTGGCAAAATTAGCCTGCAATATTGCATTCTAACCACTGCACCACCATGGCTCATTAAACATTAGTAAATAAGAAAACATTTGTTATTTGTTAAAATAGGTTCTCATTTGCACTTTGCAGAATATTCTGGAGTTATCATTCTACAACAGAGGCATTTTGCTGAGCAGTCTGAACAGTTATGATACTTCCGTTGCTTTTGACCTAGGTAATATTGCTCCAGGACAGAATCTGACACATACATTTGTGTTAAATTCTGAGGTGAGACTCTCTTTGTAACATGGCATATGTTGGAGATGTGCAAGAATGATTCAATATTAAATAGCTCTATATAATTCAAATGTTGCACAATTATTGATCTAAGAGAAATTAGTATCTAATAATGAGTATATGATCAGTTCATTGCCATTAGGAGGGTATCTGGGTTTGCTATCATGTAGAAACCTTTATGTGTGGAGGTCAGAGATTCTGAACGTTTCATTCTCTATGAATGAAACCTTGAGAAATATTTGAGATATTAAATATTTTCTCCGTAGGTATCTGTCTATGGAGAAAATCTTTCTTCTCAAATATGAGATCTGGAAATATTTGCAGGCTGATATACTGGCTAAAAGCTTAAGATAATAAAATAAAATATAACATATGCACACACATTGATCTTTGAGGCAGAGATAACTCTTAGAAAAAGGATAAGACTAATTTCAAGCTTGTTAAGGATATTGCTGTTGTGTTACCAACCAACAGAGTAAATGCACAAGGAAACGTTGCTGAGAGCAATGAATAAGAAATAGGCAAACTGGTTTATCAAAAGTTTACTTTATAGTGAAAAAACAGTCTCATAGTCTTTAAACAAATTCCAAGTCTTTGCCAGTTAAATCAGTCCAGTAGTTACAGATATCTTCTTACCAAACAAACATTAGTTGGTTAGAATAACAAACTCACTCTGGTTCACAAACCACGATGGTAGCAGATCCATCCAACAATGATTAGCAGATAGCAACTCCTCTCAATGGTAGCTTATCATAGTCTGGTAGCATATCACATCAGCTTCATACACAATGGCAGCATATCATAGCAGCAACTGAACATGTTACAATACCTTGCTTAAATACTCTCACAACCAGTGATTACCTTATTACAGCATGACTCAGCATTACAATGAATCAGCAGGAAAACTTTAAAGTCACATAATACATTTTCAGATTAAAGTTACAGAACACATATATTGCCTGGACAACTAGTTAGGCTCAAACCATATCCTAACAAAGCTTTAGCTTTCTAACTGTAATATAGCCACAGAAGATAATTCAGTCGTAATATGATTTGACATCAGGTGAAAGGTTGATTGACTTTGTGCATCAAGTTGACAAGTTGTCAACCCATAGTGATCACATAGGCAGATTTTCTCTAGGATGTTTTGTCCCCAGTCTCACCCTTTAGGTATACTCATTGTTGCTGTAACTGAGTACATCCACTTTTCTGCTGGTTCTCCTCATCTCTTTCTTTCCAAATTTCCCAGCATTATGACTTCTTCACGGAGTTTGATTTTCATATAATGTGTCCAAACTTCAATAATTTGAATGTGGTCATTTGTACCTTGAGTGAGAATTCTGGATTGACTTGTATGATACATTTAAAAGCATCCATATTTTTTCTATTCTGTTACTTGAAAGTCCATACCTTGTGGTATCTGAATACCTTTTCCAAGGCCTTCATTGTTACCCTATCAAAGTGCTTGATAGATAATCTATCTTCCTATAAAAGGCAGAAGCTATGTACTACTTCAATATCTTCATTGTCAATTCTGAGGCTGATTGCTGCCCCTGTTATGACTTTGGTCTCCTTTATATTTATATTCCTATATCATATATATTCCTATATCAAGGAGCATAGGAAAAAATGGAGCTAAGATCAAAATCTTAGCTCCATTTTTTCCTATGCTCCTTGATTTTCATTGCTAGAGTTTGCAGATCATTTGCATTTTCAGTCATCAGAGTAGAGTCATAGTGCAGAGTGCTGATGTTTCTTCCTCCAGTTTTAAAACCATGTTCGTCTTCTCCCAATTCAGTTTTCCTCAAGATATGTGTATTCAGCATGTAGTTTAAATAAATTAGGGAAGTGTATATACTGTTTTATCTCACCCTTTTGCCAACCTGTAGCCAATTTGTTTCTCTGTTCCATCTGGACTGTGACTTCCTGACTTGTGTATAAATTTTGCAACATGTCCCCTTCTGGAATTCCCATTTTCCTAAGCACATTCCTTACTTGGCTTGGTAGACACAACCGAAAACTTTTCTATAATCAATAAAGCACTCGCTGTTTTTTGGAGGGTATTTTTTGGCTTTCTCAGTTACCTAACTTTCATTAGCATTAATTGTCTCATTCCTCAAACTTTTCTAAAAGCAGCTTGAACATGTGACATTTTCCTTTTCATGTAAAGCTTTATTCTGCATTGGATGATCCTAGGCATTATTTTGCTGGTTGTGAAATTAAGGATATTTTGAGATAGTTTGTTAGTCTGTCTGTTTTCTTTGATATAGGTTAGTAATGACTGGAGTAATGACTGGAGTTTTGTTCTAACTTGATCCTAAACTACTAGAGTCTGGCAACCAGATAATATTTTCTAAAGTATCTTAAATATTGATATTTCTATGATACAAACTTTCCATATACTCCTTCCATATTTCTTTGATCTTCTTGGAATCAGTTACTATCTGTCCATTGACGTCCTTAACATATTAGTTTGAGGTTAGAACCTCTTTCTGAATGATAGGTTAAATAAAGGAATGTAGTAATGCTACATTTTTCAGATTCCCAGGATCTATGCTTTTATAGATTACAACATGGTAATCCATTTTATACCTAGATTACTATAATTACACCTCATTCGAAGTAGTTGAACTCTTATTTGTGAAACAGACACATTTAATTTAATCATCTAGTATATAATTTAGTAATATAATCAGCTTCAACCTGGTGTTCTCAAGAAGTGTTGATCATATTATTCACTCACTGCCATATCTGGAAAAGTGCTTGATATTTCCAACAGAAGATTATTTGATTTTTGGTTTTTTGTTTTTGTTTTTAAATAAGCTAAATAATATGAATCAATCACAAGATGTTAATTAAGTAGTGTAGTATATGACAACACAAGAAATTAAGTTGTAAACAGCTACATTGGTAGAACAAATACATATTTATGTGCTTTAGTTAACACTGATATAGACAGAATTATAGTAAAAATTCATTAAGGAAGCAGAGATATGCGTAAGCATTTGTGTAGCTGTGAATATCTTGGGGCTGACTTGACACTGTTTTAACTTATCTTTTGTCTCACCCTTCAAGGAGAAAAGAGCAGAACTGGATGTTGAATTTTCATTGGAAAAATGGTGAGGTGTTTCTTTTCCTCCATCATGATGTAATAACATGCAGACATATTCTTTAATCCATGTTTCGTTTAAACTTAAATTATTATTGGAGCATTGCAATTATTTGTCAGCTCATTGGGGTAGGTCAGATCGAGAAATAGACATTACAGTCATTCCATGAATGGTCTTTTATTTTTCTAAGGTTTATTAACAGAATCTTGAAAACCTCTCTAAAACCTTTCTAATGTAATGCCCTTCTGAGGGCAACATGCCTGGTACACTTGTGTCTTTGGTGTCAGGTGAGGAATTCCATTTATTCTGGATATTTCTATATTTTTGGACTAATTTTCTACTAGAATTGCAATTTTTAGAGTTTATGTTTCTAGTGAATGTTATTATTTTCATTGTACTGTTATTTTGATTTATATAATCAAAGAAAATTAAGCAAATATTTTTATTTCCACAGCAAGCATCCTCCCTGTAGGATCATTACTAATGGAGTTCTTGTGGTGAGTAAAGGGAATAATAATGGTTATTGGGATTCTTAATAGATAAATGATTTGTTTATATAAGTCATAATCCTATATTTTTAACCCTAAAAACAAAAGAATAAATACATTTGCATAGTAATTTCTCCCCAATTGGATTTTTTTTGTTTTTGTTTTATGTAGGCACAACCTTGTCTGTGTATTAAAGGAACTATCAATAAAAGTAAGATGGCTCCATGGATAATAAAGGGTAGGTCCTTCGTAACCACAATTCTTGGAAAAAAGGCAATAACAGTTTCCTTGTCTTATAAACCAAGTGCTAATATGAGTGAAATAAATATAATTAATCAAGTACACATTTTTCACACATTCTAATTCCTGAAGGCTGGTATATGGTATAGATACAGTGATTCCCCCCCCTTTTTAAAGTTTTTTATTTTTTAGACAAACATTTAATACATCAATTATCTCTTCCCTGCAACATCTTGGTATTATCTTCCATAATTCTTTCTTCTTCTGTATAGTTATTATTTCTTTGATCTTGATCTTTATCTAATCCATATTATAAATTTGTCACTAATATAATATGCTACTCATCACATATTTATACATACTTATATACTTGATCATTTATATCTCTTCTCCAACCAATAATAGAAATAATTCCAAATTTTAAAATACTCTGAGTCTTCTCTATCCTTAATCATCAAAGTTAACCTATTCATTTCAGCACAGTCTAAAATTTTTTTTATTACTTCTTCTTCCAAAGGTATTTTCTCCGCTTTCCAATTTTGTGCATAAACAAACCTTGAAGCTGTTATTACATGTATGATCAAATAAGCATTTTCCTTACTTGTTTTTTCTGGTAGAATACCCAATAGAAACAGCTCTGGTTTAAATTCAATACGTTGATGTATCATTTCCTCCAAACATGTCTTAATTTTACTCCAATAGTTTTTGGCTTCCAAACATGTCCACCACATATGATAATATGATCCTGGAAGTTGATGACACTTCCAACATTTGGCTGATTTATCTTTAAACATTTTTGCTAATTTCTCAGATGGCATGTGCCATTTATAAAACATTTTATATTGATTTTCCTTATATGCAGTGGACATCATTAATTTATAGTTCCTTTCCCATAGTTGTTGCCATTTTTCCAAATCAATTGAATATCCAAAATTTCTCCCCCAAGCTATCATTGTTTCTTTTATTTGCTCCTCCTTTAATTCAGTACTAAGTAAAAAATTATAAAACTTTTTTATTAAATTATCATCTGTTCCTGTGAGTATCCCATCCAATTCAGTCTTTTCCATATAAAAAGCATATAATTTAGCATCTTTCTCATATCTTGTTTGAATCTGCATATAATATACCAGTCTGTCTCAATCCCCTGTGCGTCTAATTCCCTTTTTCCTCTCAATTCCTCCTTATCTGTTAGCAAATCCTTATATCTAACAATATTTCCAAATTTAAAAACATTTGGGTGTATTAATGCTTCCATGTTGGTATTTTCACGTAATATTTATCTTTTACTTTCTCCCATACCAATAACAATGCATTTCTTACATAATGTCTATGAAAATATGTGTGTATTTTATTTCTATATGTCACAAGTAAATGCCTTATTCTCCATTATGTAAATAGTACATGAACAGGGTATCAGGGGTTAACTTATTTTTCACCTCTTAATGTATTCATATTTCACCACTCCCATATCTAGCTCCACCCATTGTATATATAAGGAGCTGCATACGTTCATTCTGTGCTTCTATCTGTGAATATTCAGTGAATATAGAATGCCTTATGTAAATAAACAGTGATTTATTTGAATTTATAATTCTCAACTTATTTATTGAGTCTGATCCTGAAAATATCATAACAATCTGGTAGCAGAGGATGGTTGAATTGACTCAATAAAAACTTAAACATGTCTAAAAGAGATAGGCCCAACACCAGGGCATACAGCAAAGAAATGGAAGCGGATCAAGAAATAATCGATGAGTCCACGAATGCAATTTCGAGAGAATCTGAAGAATACACCACAGACGACGGAGAAATAATAAATGAAGATGATGACCAAGAAGAAAACGAAATAGAAAACAACGAACTCAGGTCAGAGATACTAAAACTTTTAAAAAGCCAAAAGAGCGATGAAAGTCTCGTCGCGAACCTCCAAGACATACTAAAAAACAATGGAGCAGCGAAAGAGAA